TTTCTCCTAGTGAGATATGATTTCCCTGTCTTGCAAAGAGTTGGGGGAACTCTCATGTCACACTCTCATTGAGTCTTTATTGGTTCTGTTGCCCCTAACCACCCACATACTGCTGGCCTCACTTTCCTCTGTGATGCCGTAGCATGAAATGATGAGACTTGATTACCGTGTACAAATTCCCCAGAAAAGCACCAGTACAACCTGTGGATCAGACTTCCTGCAATAAAGGTGAATACCACACAGCAGAGTCTTAGTAACATAACAAGAGAGTGGGGAAGGATACCTGGAGGGTCTAGGTTCTGAGCCAGATGAATTCTAGATGGGGTTAACAAGCCAGAGAAGTAGCTGGGTTTGAGCAACACAAAAAGTATACTAGATTCCAATATTGCTTAACACAGAGAGAGGAAAGCATGTTGGTTTTAGTTATCAGCAACACATTTTAACTATTAATTTTTTACCTACTGATATTCAGGCATTATCAAGTGACATTGAGAAAAATGTTTCTTGTTCTTTTTAAAAAACAATTCTATTGCATTAGGAGAAATTCAGTCATATTCCATTTAAATAATCTCCCACCCCCAAATCATCTTGCATATTACTTTTTTCTTTTATCTTTTTTTTAAAGAATGCAATCCAATTCATTACAGTGGAGTGCATTACAATTCTTATTACATATATACAGCACAATTTTTCATATCTCTGGTTTTATATATAAAGTATGTTGACACCAATTCGTGTCTTCATACATGTACTTTGGATAATGATGTCCATCACCTTCCACCATCATTGCTAACCCCCTGCCCCCTCCCCTCCCCTCCCCTCCCCTCCACCCCTCTACCCTATCTAGGCCCTAATCTTCATCATGTGGGATTAGGCCCTAATTTCCTTAATAAGACTCCTATAGTGCAAGAATTAAAACTAAGAATCAATAAATGGGATGGATTCAAACTAAAAAGTTTCTTCTCAACAAAAGAAACAATCTGTGAGCTGAACAGAGAGCCTACATCCTGGGAGCAAATATTTACCCCTAACACATCAGATAGAGCACTAATCTCTAGGGTATATAAAGAACTCAAAAAGCCAAGCACCAATAAAACAAATAACCCAGTCAATAAATGGGCCAAGGACCTGAACAGACACTTCTCAGAAGAGGTTATACAAACAATCAACAAATATATGAAAAAATGTTCATCATTTCTAGCAATTAGAGAAATGCAAATCAAAACTACTCTAAGATATCATCTCACTCCAGTCAGAATGGCAGCTATTATGCATACAAACAATAATAAGTGTTGGTGAGGATGTGGGGAAAAAGCACATTCATACATTGCTGGTGGGACTGCAAATTGGTGCAGCCAATATGGAAAGCAGTATGGAGATTTCTTGGAAATCTGGGAATGGAACCACCATTTGACCCAGCTATACTTCTCCTTGGTCTATACTCAAAGGACTTAAAAACAGCACATTACAGGGACACAGCCACATCAATGTTTATAGCAGCACAATTCACAATAGCTAAACTGTGGAACCAACCTAGATGTCCGTGAGTAGATGAATGGATAAAAAAAAATGTGGCATATATACAGAATGGAATATTATTCAGCAATGAAAGAGAATAAAATCATGGCAATTTGCAGGTAAATGGATGGAATTGGAGAATATAATGCTGAGTGAAGTTAGCCAATCCTCCCCCCCCCAAATGCTAAATGTTTACTCTGATATAAGGATGCTGATTCATCTTGCATATTTCTGATAGTATGGTTTTTAAATGTTCAGAAGTATCAGTATTTCCTAATGAATGCGAGTAGAGGTTGATATTTCTCATTCTGATGTTGGCTTCTTATTTAAAGCAATTGCAGAAGATATAGATTGTGAAAGTTGGGTTAATGAGAAGCAAATAAATATAAGTAATGATAAATTCTGGGAAAAAACTCAATATCCTCTTTTTTTCTTTTGAAAATTTTTTAAATCTTTATTCAATGCTTTTTCCTTTTCTAGAGAAAATGCCAAACAAAACTCAAGTCAGATAAAGTAATATTAGAATCCATTTGGATTCTTTTCTGTGTTAGGAAATTGAAATCCTGGTGTTTTAGTACCTGAATTGTTTCAGGTATTCAGCTCCGAATTCCTACTTTCTTAACTGCCTTAAGCTAATACGTTCTTACTAGAATAAATACAATTCTCAACAGAGGTTAGATTTTGCATTATTATTTTTTTTGAGGGGGTTAATTATTTTAATTTTTATTTATTTATTTTTAGTCATACATGACAGTAGAATGCATTTTGATATATAATATATACATGGAATATACATACTTCAATCATATTGTCTATTCTATTCTGCTGCCCTTCCTATCCTCCCTACTCCTCCCCTCCTCTCCCATCCTTTCTCTCTATCCAATCTAAAGTGACACACGTTTTTTTTTTCTTTTTCTCATCACAACATCACATATGTATTCTGTATAACAATGAGGTTCTCCTCCCATCTTCTGTGCAACTCCCCTTCTCCCTCACATTATGATTTCTTTAGGGAAAAATTTGTTTCAATTTTATAAGCAGAAGAAAGGAAAAAGAAATGTGGAATTCTGCAGAAAAGGTTGTAGATTTCCACAGCCACTTTATTTTGCATTGCGATTATGAAATTTAAAATCACAAACATATTGAAAATCAAAATTGCCAGAGACACTCCTGAAAAAAGCCAGTTCCTTTTGGACTCCAGTGCTATTTTAATATCACATAATTGTAAAGAAAACACCCCACCCTTCTCCTGAAGTAAGAGGCCTCTTTTCTCCCTGAAGACATTACTGTTGATGGGGAAGAACGTCTCAATTAATAAATCTCTGCACTCTGACAGTGTGGGGACGGAGTGAGAGTCAAGCCTCCACCTGGGCCAGGCATGACTGCGAAGCAGAAGTCTATTTTGTCCCCAAGACTCTAACTTCTTAAATTTTTAGGCCTCAGCGTCACTCCTCTGTGTTTCACCCAGATGGCCAATGTCACATTCTCTATAAAAACCTGAACAGGACTCCTTGATAAGAAAGGAAAAGTCTCAGTGTTCAAAGCCAGGATTCTAGGATGTTCTGTGCCATAGACCTCATAAACTTGACTGTACTGAGTGGATTCTAAAGGGGAAAAAAATGTACTCTCTGTCTCCAGAAAAATTGCTTTCTGCCTGCGCGCCATTTTCCCCTTATTAATGAAAGACAAAAAGAAAAATTATTTCACACACAATTTGTGTTCTCTTTGTTAAAAAAAAAAAAGGAGGAGGGAAATAACCCAGATTCAAAATCTCAAGGATCAAATGTTTTCTCTCATAGAGATAGATAGAATGGGATAAAAATTAAAAAGAGGCATGCAGAAGCTAATGAAAATAGAAGAGAATATAATAACATAGAGGAAGGGATGAGAGGAAGGAGGCCCTGTGTGTGTGCGTGTGTGTGTGTGTGTGTGTGTGTGTGTGTGTGTATAAATGACACTACTACTACTACTAAATGGGAGATCAGTAAAGTAGAGAGCAAGTGGATTGGGGGAGAGAGGAGAGGAGGGCAAGGGAAGGCATTGGGGAATGAGACTGATTTAATTCTGTGCATCAGCCTCAGTGAAATAAGAGACTCCGAAAGTCAAGGGTGAAATGTTTTCTCTCCTATGTGGAAGCGAGAGCAAAATAAGAGAAAAAGGGGGGGAATTCCATGAAAAATAAAAGGGAGATCAAGGGAATAGAGGAAGAGAATTGAGGGGAGAGGAGGAGGGATGGAAAAAGGGAAGAACTGTAGAATGAAATCGACCAAATCATGCCATGGACATACATGAATAGACTACAGTGAATTCCACCTTTATGAATATCTATAAAGCACCATTTAAAAAAAAACAATAAATAAATAGAAGGAAGATCAGTAGAAAAGAGGAAAGGATCAGGGGGCCTAATCAGGGAAAGAGGAAGCACTGGGGATTGAAATGGAGCAAATTATATTCCACACATATATGATTATTTCAGAATGAATCCCATTCTTATGTAAAATAATAGACTAAAAAATTATGTACATGTATAAGTATGATATAATGAATTCCACTATTATGTCTACTTGTAATGCACCAAAAAAAAAAAATTGGATAGTCCTCACTTTCCTTCCTCATCTTTCTGACCCCATTCTTTCTGAGACATACCTGGAAACTTTCTAATTTACAGTCTAAAGCAATCCCAGAACACCTGAGACCTGGTGTTCTGGAGGTCTGCTGAGCTAGGGTCATCCTCCATCTCTCATGTTTCCTCTTGGTCATTTGATAAACGTTCATCTGAGTAATTTCAATATGTCTCTTCATATGCAGTTGGTATCTATTCATGTACTATAAAATCTCAACCTGAGTCCATGTCCCAGAAAATCACCACCACCCACCCCACCACCACCAACAACAAGAAAACAAATATAAAAAAGTAAGTGACATGTAAGGCTAGCCAGTGCTTTGACAGTTCTTTGCTATGCTCTGTGTGCTAAAATCACATCTGTATTTCTGCTGTCCCCTCCATTTTCCCGCGGTCCTTCCAGAAGTTACCAGATAAACCTGCTGCCTTGTGCGCGGGAGTGCCCAGTTACTTTCTCTCTGGTTCCTGTTTCCCTTAGGACACTGCCTCTCTCTGAGGATTTTCTCTGGTTCCCTGCAGGCTGGCTCTGAGGAATTGTAAATCTTGCAGCCAAATGGCGAGTCCTCAGCCCAAATAGCAGCCGTGACCTCAGCTCCGCAGAGATAAAGTTTGCCCTCTGTTTCTGAGAAGCTCTGCCTTCTCAAGTTCATTTTGGCAGCTAGTGGCTTCCCTGAAACCGTTTGCTTACACAGTGTAGACCCAGCCAACAAACAGCTGGAAGTCTCTGGACATCTTCATTTAAAATCTGCAAAGAGTTAAAAGTCCCAGGGGAGAATTAGGCCAAAGGCACAAGCCAGAGAGGGCTTAAAAGGGCCGTTCAGCGCACGCAGCTGGATGCTCACTTGCTGGGGGTACCCACCTGCCCCGCAGCCCGCTGCGCCTGGGGCTTCCTGCAGCTGGATCCCAGACGCACGCACTGTGCAGTGGCAGCGCCCAGCCGCTGGGGCAGCCCCTCTGGAGAGCTGGGACCGACTTCAGGGTCCTAAGTGTCCCCAGACCCCGGGGAAATCTCGGTGAGTGTTGGGTGCAAGGCAGGGGACCTAAGATGGGTGGGCAAGGGAGCCTAGGACAGATTTGTGGGTGTGAGCTGCTCCCGTGATTTTGCCCCGGTTTGGTGCCCTAAAATCCAGGTTCTAAGGAAGTTTGCAAATGTTTGAGACTCCAGTTCTGAAAGGCTAGACTTTTAGCGGTGCTGTGGTTCAGACCACCAGCATCTTCATTCTCTGCAATCATGTTAGAAATGCAAATTCATGGGCCCTGCACCAGACCTGCGGAACCAGAATCTCTGGTTATGGGAATTAGGAATGTGAGATTAACAAACCCTCCAAGGGGTCCTCATTGCAGCTGAAGTTTGAGAAACCTTGCCCTAGATGTCATTTAGTCTAATACTTGGGCCCCTAACCCCAACACAGGAACCCCCAAATAAATAGCAATGGGTGACTAAACTGAGCCGTAAGCATTAGTGTATTCCAATATAACAAAACACTTGGAAACATTCATGGTTTGTTGTTATTCTGTCTCAAACTGTAAACTGTTCATGAGATTTGCTCAAAACAGCAGTCATGGCTACAATGAACGTTTTGGATTTTCTACGCTGTTTCAAGACACCAAATAAGGTTCTTCCAAAGGCTGAGGGAGTTACTTACTCTCAGGATCTCCAAACCTAAGGCTTGCTATTGCTTTAATCAGGAACCTTGTAATTTGATGCAGTGTTCTATCCTTCACATGGGTTTTTATTCAGCTGCTCCTTCTGAAAAAGAAAAAAAAATGTTTTTTTTTTGGTTATCCCAGAGTGCCAGGTTAGATATTTTGAAAGAGGTATATTTACTTCATGAATTCTGAACAAAAATCCTTTGGAAGAATTTGCTCCAGAAAGACCTATTTTCAATATCTAAGTTTATGGTGTTACAACCTCTAAGTAGAATCAGTAGGGATCCTGAGATTTCTTATGAATTGGAGTAAAAAAGGCAATTCCCTGTGGTTCTGAATCATTCCTTCAGGTGAAGCAGGATCATCATCATTGCTGAGGAGCTGACACATTGGATATTTGATGATGAAGGCACAATTACAGTTTGTTGTGGGCTTTGTTTCTTTTTCTTCTTTGGTAACTTAAACATTAAGTCTAAATTCATTAATGACTTATTCTGAAACTCTGGTTCAAATTTCTTTGCAGATGATTTTTGGTTTTTCTCTCTCTTCAGTGGGTGGATGAAGAATGTAGAGTTTTGATATGGGACTGGCCGTTATCATTCCAAATTATTTCCCCAGAGTTTCCTATCAGTCACATGGTTATGACACTGAATCATTATCAATATACTAAAGCTAAGAAAATATTTAAGATGATGATCATATGGTTAATTATGAATGTGTTTTACATTAAAATGTCTAAAAGTCTTGTTCATAGATTTCAAAAGCTAATCACTGCTTTGTTTGAAAACATAGTTGGTAATGTCAGTAAAACTGGGAGCTGTCGCTTAGAATGTTATAAGACTGCAAAAATAGTTTGCCACTATAAATATTCTGAATCAGAGCTGCACATAGAGCTGGTGCATAAGTACTCAATGAGCATATGCTCAGCATCATTCTATGATGAAGTGCAAGGTTTACAACATATGTCTTGTTTTCATGGTGTCTCATGCTGTGATTTTTCCTCCAAGTTCAAATCACCTTCCAAAAGGGAAGAATTTCTGACCCTGAAACATTTGCCTAAACCCTCTATTTCTGAGAGTGGAGGACATGTATTAACTTAGGATATGTACTTTTCTTGGTATTGCAGTTTGCTTTGAAGATGTCCCTGTCAGTCTTATAGGATCTCAGATTTAAGTGTATCCTGGGCAAGTGCAATAGGAATGGAAATGGCACCAGGCAAAGTGGGAACCTGAGATATGAATGAAATATACGTTTGTCCTTTGAGGAAGTTCTGGCTGGTGGTGTGTGTGGCTGTTTTGTCACTCCCATCCCTGGTACTGTATGATACTGACCTAGATTCCTCTGACCTGTTTGAATTCTCATTCTTCAAGCCACCATGGGGGTGTGTGTGGGGGGGATGGGCATTCTGCCATTTCAGATTTAGATCTCTGAAATGTCACTATGCAGTTCTACATTATTTGATGGTCCCAAGTGATAGTTCAAGTCTTCTCCCTTAGAATGGAATAATTTACTTAGTTAGCTAGTTGTTATCTTGGAAGATAACAGGAACATTAAAGGACCAGAATAATGGAATTAGAGAAAGATAGTGTAGTGCAGTGAAAAAGCATCATCTATGTAGTCAGGGCCTGCAAGCTTTTGGGCAAGCTATGCTACCTCTTTGAGCCTTGGTTCCTTCATTTGTAGGGTGGACATAATTGTATGTACCTTATAGAGTTGAAGTAAGCATTGAGACTATTGGGTTACTGGTGTTGGGGTCCAGGTTCTTGCATCAGCAACAAAGAATGGAAGAAGACATGCAGAAATAACAGGCTAAGTACAGATTTATTGAAGGTGAAGGTGAAAGCAACACTCCGTAAGGTACAGCAGAGTGGGCCAAGTAGGAGATAGAGGCTCGAGGCCCAAATGTTTGGAAATTCTTGTCATATGTACTAAGCTGTGAGCTGTTCATCTCCCTGCATGGGCTGATTGAGGGACATACCCCATTTGCTCCCATTGATTACCTTATGATACCTCATTAGAATACTACCACATTACCCCCATTGATTATGTTATGATTTCATTGAAAAATGGTCTATTTTACCTCCATTGGTTGCTTTAGAATACTGACCCTGTGGTGGAAGTCATCATGGTAATAACTTATTGTAAACAGGGACTTGATGACTCATCTCCTGTCTTGTACTCCTGTTGGCATGTTTCTCATACCCTGCCTCCACCATCTTGGTGTCCCTGAACTTCTACCGAACAATTGAGTGAAACATTGATTATATATTGAATACATACCAGCAGCTGTTAATATTAAAACTTTACAGCTAATTACCTAGGCTAATCTTTTGTTTAACACTAGGGAAACCAAAACAGAAAAATAAGAAAATCGTAGTGTAATAATCTAACAATACAAAAACATTGCCAAAGAAGGGTATTGCCAGATCTTTTACATTTAATAGGTAAATATGTTATAATTTTCTCATATTTTATTCACTAATTATTGATATAGGATGATTGTTAAAGAGTTTATTTATGGGGCTGGGGTTGTGGCTCAGCGGTAAAGTGCTCGCCTAGCATGTGTGAGGCCCTGGGTTCCATCCTCAGCTCCATAAATAAATAAATAAATACATAAATAAATAAAGGTATTGTGTCCAACTACGACTAAAAAATAATTAAATAAAAGTTTATTTATGTATTCTTATGCATACTAAATACCATTGTCTGGACTTAGATTACATAAACTATGAATAGGTTGAGCCACAAAAGTGGCAAATCAAAATAGCAATTTAGACAAATTATACATTTTCATTGTGTAAAATAAGTCCACCAATAGGCAGTGTAGATTAATAAAGGGGAACCATGATTATCAGCGGCCAGGATTCTTTTTGCCTTTGTTTCTACCTTTTTCGGCGGGGAGCTTCCATCTACGACATTGCTCTATGTTCACAAGCTGGCTGTTGGAGCTCCAGATATTTTGTCTGCATTCCATGCAGCAAGAAGGAAGATGCTGCAGATAGATCTATTTTCTTGCTGACTCATCCACCTTCTGTATATATTTCATTGGCTAACCTTACCTATAAAGGAAATTCAGAAATGGGTTTTTATAGCTGGGCACATTGCCCTATCCACCATTCTCTGAATAAAAAAGGAAGGTATTGGGAATATTGGAATATTGGGTAGGCAACCAGACATTTGCAATATTGGAACAAGGAAAGAATAGTTCTTTAGAGAATGGCAAATGGTGTTGGTTGTAGTGGGTAGTGTGTGTATGTGTGTGTATGCATGTGCATGCATGTTGGAGAAGAGGGAATGATAAGCAAGAGTGTGCTAAAGCTGCAGGGAAACTGGATGGCTTGAAGTATTAGGAAAAAAAGAGTTTCCCCCAAATAGAAATACTGCAGGTGGGGAATTACAGGAATAGCGATGAATTAATCTAGTTCTTGAAGCAGTTTATGTAAGTGGCTGTATTTAAATTCCATTGTAATCTTGAGAGGTAAAAAGAACAGATTTTTAAAATATCATTTCATTGAGGAGAAAGTTGAGAATCAGATTGATAAACCCTTGCTGAGGACCATGGGCCCACTTGGTTCAGAGCTGTTCTAGGCCTTAGCTCTTCTGATGCTTCCGTCCTTATCCTTAATAGAGAGGAGGAAGGAGATAGAAGAAATGAGAGAATGAAATTTACAAATTTCCTTTTAACCATGTGATAAGAAAAAAATATTTGGAAAGAGGGAGACATAATCAGATTTTACAAAAAATTTTACTATTTTACAGTAGTGTAACAATTTAAGAGCCCATCTATTGGGGCTCAAATCAGCATTGCACCACTTAATTAGCGGAGAGACACTTGAACAAAATACTTAAACATCATTTTTTTTGTCATGTGGAAATATTGTAGTTCTTGCCTCATAGGGAAGTTGTAAAGTTAAAGAGCAAAGAGGAGTGACTGGTTCGTAATAAGAATCATGTATGTGCTTCATGTTCTACATTGATCATAATTAAGAGAATCGATTAAAAATTATTAAACCTAAGGACTATATTAGTTAAGAGAGCTGACAGCAAAATAATTTTTTAAAAATATGGTAACCATTTAATAAAATGGCAACAAGCAATTAAAGTAGAAAGAGAGGCAAATTTCTATTCTCAATAGTAATAAACTAGAACATAGCTGAGAACTGTGATTGTGAAATGTGTAGGACCAACTCCTGTTGGACCCTGCAATCCTCAGCTTACTCCCCCTGCAAACACACATCCAAAGGCTTCACAGAAAACCTAATACATGGGAATGACCTTATTTAAAAATATTCCCAATAAAAAGGAAACATTGGTTACACTTAAAACAAAGATGAAGCATTGTTCTAGTCAACAGAAGAGAATT